GGGAGAGCATGGTGCTGACAACACCAAGTCAAGTGTTAAGATCCCCTTACCGGTCATCTTTTTTAAAAAACCAAAGAACAACAACAACAAAAACAACCTGTGGTAAGAAATGATAGGGCTGGGCTGTTAGCTCAGTTGGTTAGAGCATGGCCTTGTAACACCAAGGTCAAGGGCTTTGGATCTCCATACAGGCCAGCTGCTAAAAAAACAACAAAACCCCCCCCGTGGTAAGAAATGATGTTTAAGTTTCAGTTTGTGAAGATGTTTCCACATGTATTGCTGCTATTCTTAACTTTTTTGAAAAATAGGCTTAAATATTAATTCTGTTAGTGTTGTTCTAAATAGTATGTGAAATGTTCGAGGCAACCTCTCTTTTATGGTCTCATTTTATTCACAAAGTCCCTGTATAAAATAGGTAGGGTGAGGATCATTATGATCACCTATTTTATAGAGGAGAAAGTTGAGGCAATATGGAGAAATGATTTTATGTCTCTTGTGCTGAAAGCTCTGTTCTGAGAGAACAAATATTGTCCCTTTAAAAAATTACAGTTTTTGTCAAAAGACACATTATAAAATCATAGGAAAAAAGCTGTAATTTCTCTTCCACTTCAACCTAAATCGGGTCTCCACAATATTCATTCTCACTGCCCCCTGTTGTTTCCCTTTATGTACTTAGTGCAATCTANAAGCCCAGAACAGGTGTTTAACGGGGCAGCTGAAAGGCAGCAGGCTTCCACATGCAGAACCTTTGAGTACATTGCTGGAGGGATTTGGCTGCATGATAAGTTTTTATTACTGTTCAGCAAAATTAAAGGCAGATTCTATAATACCAGCACAGAAGTTAACAGGGGCATATTTGCTAGCTCACTTGGAAATCTTAAGTTTTGTTACATTTTTAGAAAGTGGACATCTTTCATTGCCATCAAAACCTGCGGTAAGGGCTGGCCCGTGGCTCACTCGGGAGAGTGCGGTGCTGATAAAACCAAGGCCACAGCTTCGGATCCCATATAGGGATGGCCGGTTAGCTCACTTGGGAGAGCGTGGTGCTGACAACACCAAGTCAAGGGTTAAGATCCCCTTACCGGTCATCTTTTTAAAAAAACTAAACAACAGCAACAACAAAAACAACCTGTGGTAAGAAATGATAGGGCTGGGCTGTTAGCTCAGTTGGTTAGAGCATGGCCTTGTAACACCAAGGTCAAGGGCTTTGGATCTCCATACAGG